TATATTATGTATATATTATATATATATTATATATATATACATATATACGTGTCGTCATATTTGAGCTTTCTTGAATGTATGTGGATATATATTCCAATGATATTGTGTATTCATGTGTAACTACCAATATCATCGCGTACAGATTATAAGAAACATAGTTTCGACCTTCAATATGTCAATTACAGACACGAATACCACTCAAAATGTATGGTTTCGTTTTCAATGCATGTATGTATTTGTTGTGCCTAGTTCTAGACTTGGTACATTGTAGCAATGACACGCATGTATATTCCTCCACATAGATTTCAGCACACATAGGTACAGGTGTGTATGGATTAAGTAAAACTGCTGCGATATGGGAGTCTTGTGCACTTGTCAGGGTCCCACAAACTTGCACATACTTAATATCACAATGGAGTGTGCACCATATTTTCACGTGACATTGTATATGATTACGGGGCATCCATGAACTGAGCAACAGATTTCCGTACAACGTATAGTAGAAAAACGGAGAGGTGTAGAGAATTCTTTCATTGATACATCTTGGGGGGAATAATATGTCTATATTTGAATTAGAGATCTACAACTATGGATCATACTCGATAGAAAAAAACTAAGTTGCGTGTGGATGAATAAAACGGACTCAAAGCCCGTTCTGACTTACATTAAGCTCGTTCTGATTTACATGGTTGATACTTGGCTTCAAACGAATGTCTATCATCTGACCACTGCTACTTTTGTGGTGTTCACTTCTAATTCACTTCCCTTTTCCGCACAGGATTTCTATGCTTGGATCTCGCTACAGCTCAAGAACACGTCCTTTCAGAACTTTTTTTCGCGCCACCGTGGGTCAGCAATTTTTGTCTGGACTACCGGAAACGTCACCATCGACGACGACTGCCGATTCGTTAATAACATGGTGGGCGATAGGCGTGAGGTGTTTGGAGGCGGTGCTTTCTCCATGGGTTACGTCAGCGCCAACTCGCACGTCTACATTGGGGGGCTCTGGGATCGTAATGCGGTCGTGTACCCCTTTCCCTTTGGCTCCGAACACGGGGAAGGGGGTGCACTGTTCGCGGACTGGATTGACGGACATGTGTACATCAACGGCACTTTCCACGACAATCTGGCTGCTGATGGTGGAGCTATCCACTTCAAAATGGTCGCCAATGGGTCTCTAGTGCTCGATGGGGAATACTCTGGCAACCTCGCACTCGACACGGGAGCCGGTGGACGAGGCGCTGTAATCCGTATCGTAGAGTTAAAGTCTGATTTAGAGCTTAGGGGTAATTTCTCTAACAACATCGCCGATACAGGCCGAGGAGGGGTTGTAGCGGTCAATAATATGCCGAAATGGAGCAAGATCTTCCTATCCGGAACTTTCCACAACAACCGATGTGGCGACCGTGGAGGTGTTGTGTCGTGTACGAAGATATTTGAGGGCCGTTTGGACCTAGTTAAGGGTGCCTTTTTTGACGGCAACGAAGCTCGAGATGACGACAGAACTGATATATATCATATCTTGAACCCTCAGGCACAGCGTCTGGATGAGGGAAAACTAGCCTCTAACCCGGTTAAGGAGACAGTGAAGGTGTTCCCGAAAACCCCAACTAAACGACGCTCGGTGATGGTGCAGGCACCTCTCGGACAAAGTAGAATAAGTGCATGAGTGCAGACAATCTACCCAAAACTTAGTTGTACTGAAGCTCGGGTAGGGGTGTTAGAATTGTAGGTCGCTGAAAGCTGTGACTATAGATTTTAAACTTCAAGGAGGGGTATGTAATTGTCATTGTACGATAACGTCGAGAATAAAATGTGCATAATGCGATACTGTGTAAGTATGCTAAAGGAATTTATTTGTGCATGTCAAAGCATGCAGACTCCTGGTATCGGAATATTACAACCACACATGAATGGCAACTGATAAGTTCTCTTCTGTTGTCGAGATCGAATAGTGTCTTGTTCTCGATCTAAGTTCAAGTGGAGGTCATTCGACTACACTCTTGAGACATTGATACACTCGAGATTGACACACATGCTCATAAACGTACTCTCCATACGTATCGGATCTAAGGCACTGCTTTGATGTGTATAACGATATCATACTTCTGTAGATACTATACTTCTGTAAATCCCTAGCTGAGATGAAGTCATCTTGGCATGCTACTGCTAGCATGTACCTGTTGGGCAGGTACCGCTGATATTTCTGCAACTACATTGTCGCCTAAACTATTTTTTCTCTTCCGAGGCCTGCACATGATCAGAGTATTCGCCTGATACTGCGTTGCAGGCCTGTGCCTCGATGGAGACATATACATACAAAATCACTGCCCTCCTGACTTCTCCTGTATGAATATCCCCAGCAGTGGCTTTCAGTCCCCGAAGCTGGCTTTACTTAGCCGTCTGACGAAATCGGTGCTTGTAGTAGGCACTACTTGTTTGACTACACCAGTGTCCTGATCTCGAACATTCGCTATGCGTGATAAAAATAAAAGAAAATGAGCTACTTGGAAAACCTGCTCAGGCCATTGGGCTCCGGAACAAATATCCTATTGTATTCGGGCCACGTAGTTATTGCACATTCGCAAAATACAAGCACTTTAAATACACTGGCTGAGAAAGACTCCGAAACAAACGCTTTATGGAAAATCACCATTCTGTGCTCGGTTTACCTTGATGTGAAACGTTTGCATAATCGCCAGAGCGGCCATCACAGCGCATTCAAATATAGACCACATCAGTAGCATCTGATTGGTATTGTCCGTAGCTGGAGTATTATTTGTACAACAATTCAAGTTGGGACAAAATGTAGCGATGTAAATCTTACATATAATGTAAGGACACAAGTTCCAGGTATAAATGCGTCATAATGGAACGCAGTCGTCAGAACAGTATTGGAATATCGAATTCTGGCTTGTAAAAGCTAAGCATGAACACCGAAGCATCTTCAGCAGTGAGACTAACCACACCATATGGCCTTGCAACAGTTGAAACGAGAATTCGCGGTACAAACGAGACGAGGTTTAGTATAGATGAGAGTGCGCGTGATTGATTACACAAATCAAATGAAATTACACGCTGTCTATTTGTTGCAGCTAACATGATTGCAACGGGCCACCACGCTCATTTTTATCCTCAACTAATCAGCTGGCTTGCTATTGGTTCGTGCAATGTGCAAGTAACAGGAAGTATTTAACTCACTTTTCTTATGTAGTGCTAACCGGATGTCCATGAACTCTTGCTCGTGCCGACAGGCTGTGACTTTATACTGCAATTCTGCGACCATCTCTCGTAATGTCGACTCTTGATCTACGTAGGTTAGGTATAATGTGTAGGCGACAAAGGGTACATTGTGCGACTGAGTGACATATTGATCTATGTAGGTCAAGGAAAAGAGCAGGAGGCGAAAAGTGATATAGATTATACGAAGCAGCAACAGAATAGTCTAAGTGAGTCAGACAAGTGAGCAGACGATGCATGGTATGCATTCCACGACTCAAGTGGGTAGAATACGATCGACGATATGCACTATACGAGTCAGTGATAGACACGTCCATGAGGGTCAGATTAAACGAGTAGAAGACGACAATATTGTACAACCCCGTGACAAACGGAACTAGACAGGCCAGATTGGTGAGTAGCAGACGAATATACAATGGACGACTCGGTGAGAGAGTAGTCCAGTTGGGTCAGATAAAAGAACCGGAGACAACGCATTGACTAGGCACTGTACCACTGAGTGATAGACATATCATTCGCTTTTGCCAGCGAATATGAAGAAGCGGAAATTTGAGTAACAGGCAGCACTATACATACGCAAGGACTACCTTGCCTGGGTGAGTTTTACCATCTATTCAACGGATGTTCAGGAACGACTCAAATTACAATTCAGCTAAAACTCTGTTTATATAAAAAGTTGGATAACATGTTAAAATAAACCAGAGTCCTTTGCAACAGTAACTTACTCACCTTTTTCTTCCTCCCCAACACCTACGACAACATCGTCGCGTTGCATTGCGAACATCACAGTCTTTGCCGTGTGTGTTGACCAGGTGTTATCGAAACAGTATCTGCATGGAAGAGTGTGTGGTCATATGCAATGGAACGTGAATTAGCAAACCCGTAGGACATCAGCAATATATCAAAATCGTATACAATATTAACACACGCAATATTGCAATAAATAGAAAAGCACCCACCGCAAAAGGCACGACGTAATGCACATATTTTACATTTTATCATGGAAAGCTAGTGTATACGATGCTACCTAACAAACATATTGACAAACGGTCGAATATGATTCCTCGCTGGAATAGTAGACACATCGAGCTTAGTAGTTTTGATCCGGAAACTTACTCGTATTCCCCATCCGCGTAGGCGAGAATCTCTGATTTACCATCGTGTGTTTGTTCCTTTTCCAAAACTGGCAATCCATGTGGTCCAACAATCTACGAAAATTGGTCATGTTGCATATGCACACACAGATGCTGAGTGAGTAGCATACACAAGCACTTATATATGTGCACGTCGTACCCACGTACATATTCACAGAAGCAAAGAAATAGATATATATCTATAATTCAATTCGAGCAAGAACAATCGTAGGTATATCTGATATTGCGTGCATATAAACATACTTATAGACACGCATATCACGATGCAACAAGATGTAAACACAATGGCAAGTGTATAACATAATAT